CACTCCCAGTGCCTACTTGTTGCATGCTGCTAATCAATGTTTTTGTTTCATTTCGCTTCGTAGAATTCACGACACAAACATACAAACATACAAATATACATATATAAACACATAGATACATGTACATATTCTTTTAATTACATGTGAATATATAAATATATACATACATGCAGACATAGGGAAAATTGTCTATTTATTACCACCCTGCCAATTACTTTATACCTACTTTTTAACTTCCCGTGGGGCAAGTTATAGTAATCGCATAAAAATCGAAAATAAAAATTTTTACATATCTTTACGTTTCAGAGGTTTCTGAACATTTTGGCATACCATAGAAAATCTGGATGTATATGTGTGTGTATGTGTGCATGTGTGCGGATACAAATTTTCGTCGACGATTTCGGAAACACTGTTCAACCGATTTCAAATATTCAAGAAACATTCGATTACTATTAATAAGGAGACGTGCTGATTAGTTTTTGGCTTAGGCAGGTCTAGTCGTTTCGAAGATACGGTGCAAAAAGTGCCAAACTCAGTTTTCAAGAGAACGGAACGTCCGATTTTAATAATTCAAAAAACATTTTACTTACAAAAAGCAACCAATATTCATTCACTAAACAACATAATTAATTTTAATTACTTATATTGACCAGGTAAAGAACCTATTAAATTTTTGGAAAGCAGGTCTATTGGTTTCGAAGATCTAGTAAAAAAAAGTAAAGAAAATGACATTTTGAGATCAAAAATGAGCATTTGACATATGCACATCAAATTATCAGATATTTTATGGAGATTTTAATAATGTGTATCAATTTGTTTACATTTATATGGGTTCCGTAACATCGTTTGTCCGTTAAACGGCGACGCGGCGCTTACGCGCTTCGATATTTTACCTCTATACAGGTAAAGCAGTGCGTTTGCTTTGCACAAATGTTCAAAATTTTCAAAATATTTCTAAATAGATAAAAACATTTTTTCCCAAGAGTCAATTTTTTTTCAAAATTCAAAATTTCCCAAAAATCAATTTTTTTCAAAGATTAAAAAAAATATCTTTTTTAGAAAAAAACTTTTGGTACTGGAAGTTCCAGCAATTTGCCTAAAGGCACTATGCCATTCACCTTCAAATTTTCATTTTCGATTTTTTGCGATTACTATAACTTACCCTACGGGAAGTTATAAATTTCGAGTTAAAAAATAAGAACAAAAGTATTATTCATAATGTGAAATATTTTACTTCCTGCGCATCTAAGATTTATAATGAAAATATGTTCTAGTATGGAAATGTTGCAATAAATAACCCGTTAGAAGAATAGGATATATTTTGAAAATAAAGAAGACGTTTCTTGTCGCTGATAAAATATGGACTACAAGCCATAATGTCCTGAATATATAGTCGTAGTCATAAATATGTGGCTTTAGTAAATACCCACATCTCGGCAATATTTTTTCACATACAAAACGCGTATCGGAAAAAAATCTGCATATCATTCTTGAGAAGACGATATATCCTTCTGGATAAGGATAGAATTTTATAGTGCGAATGTCAAAGTAATCCTTTTTTAAAATGATATATATATACATATATATATATATATATATATATATATATATATATATATATATATATATATATATATATATATATTAGAGATGGGTAACTCACTCCGGAGTTATCACTCCGATATAACTCCTCCCTCGGAGTGAATCCGAGTGGAGTTGTCTCGTCGGATTTATCATATCCGACTTCCCTAAACTGGTACTAAATCTGTTACTGCGTTTTTGCTTTGGGAAGGAAACTGTCGCTTTCTCGTCTCACAGGCAGTTTTATGACCTTTTAGGTATACGGTTTTTTTCAGAAAATACAAAAATATTACTTCAAAGATATAGAACAATGAAATTGTGTTCAAGTGTGAATAGCTTTAATGTATAATTTACTGAATAGTAAGGGGTCATATTTTTAACTACGACAATCTTTGGCCGTGAATGACGGCGATCAGGAATATACATACCGAAAAATACGCGAAACAAAATACATTTAATCTGGTTTTTTCATAGTCTGAAATAACAACACTTTACAGTGCAAAATATATCAGTGACGTCAATAGTATTTAAGCTGCAAAAAATATTTAGTATTATATTATTACTTTTACACAATTATAGAATTGTGTAAAAGTAATAATATGCTTATCGAACTACCCAATATAATATCAATTCTCGAATGGAAATAGCAGAAGAAAAAAATAGAAAGCAGAAGTATTATTATTTGGTAAAAATATTTTATGATAAATGTTTTGCTTTTATTACAAAGCTTACTACATTATTTCTATATAAAATTAATAAAAAAAAATCAATTATTTTCAAACAACGCACTATAGAACACATTTGTGTCGAGTATTTCGGTTTCAAAGTTGTCGTGGAGTTGTTAAGCGGATATAACTCCTCCCTGAAACGGAGACAAATCCGAGTCGATCCGGCTTCGAATATAATAAGCCATCTCTAATATATAATATATAATAAGCCATCTCTAATATATATATATATATATATATATATATATATATTATTTATATATATATGTTAAATTTTTTATAATTTTGATGTTGAAATATGTGAGATTCAGTCTTCAGGGCAATACATCAATTAAAAAATTTGTATGACTTTAAAACATTTTTATTTTTTCCATACGTTTCTACACATTGTTTTGTGTCATCTTCAGTGGACTCTAGTTTGAAGGAACAGATAGAAATTATTAATTAAAACTAATATATAAAAAGTGATATGGTATGAACTTACATGTAATTGAATTAATCCTAATTATTTCATAATTATAAATGTTCACAATGCACAATAAAACCAATTCTTGTCACTTTAAATTAAACAATATATAAATTTTCGAATAAGTTTTTTATGAAATTGTAAAGTGCATCCCGCTATTCTGTGTTCCGGTGCAGACTGAATGTACATCACACCACGTGTTAAAAGCTAGGTACAAGGCACACGAACTGACCAGAGAATTTAAGGTTTGACAACGCGAAGAGGGTACATATAGTGAAATATAAAAACATGACAATTGTGAGGGTGAAAATAGTTGGTAGAATTGAGATAAAAATTAAAAGAAAAAGAAAAATTAGCATTAAAATTAATATGATTAAAACATCGATCAGGATAGGTAATTGTTTTAAAGGTATGAATTTCGAGACATTGTTTAAAACTACTTGGTAATTCTCACACAGTGAAGAATTATCCAATCTTTTGTTTAAGCTATTTTTATATAGGTGTATTAAACATGATTCTGAAAAGCGTCTCTGCGATGTATTCGACTCGTGATATAAAATTGTAGCAACATCAAAATTGAAAATATGATTGAAACTTTGGATGTGGTCAGTTATCATTGTTTGATTTTGTTTTTTATTTTTGGAGTTGTTATAGTGTTGTCTAAGACTTTTTTTTAGATGTTGTCCAGTTTCGCCAATATAAGTGGCCTCACAATTTGTACAGTCAATTTTATACACGATGTTAGAAATACGATCTAAACTTGTCGGTGATTTTAAATTCGAAAATAAAAAGTTAAGAGTCTAATCAATATTGCAAACTAAACGCAAATCTGCGAATTCAAATAGTTTTTTTCAAATAGGAAAGAGATTTTTAATGTATGGGAGACAAATAGTGCCAATAAACTTACTTCCTTCTTTTTTCTGGGACTCGAGGGAAGGACGATTATGTTTTGTGTTAAGGACGGAAAGCCTGTTGTTAATTACTGATTTTATAAGATGTGGAGGATAGCAATTATTTAATAGGGTTCTGTGGATTAGAGATAAGTTAAAAGGCCAAAACTTTTTATCTGACAAAAGAATAGCATGATCAACTAAATTGATAATAGTACCGATTTTCATGTTAGTGGAATGATAAGAATGGAAATTGAGATATCTGCCAGACCACGTTGGTTTTTGGTACCAGTTAGACTGGTTAACTTTTTATTTTCGAACTTAAAATCACCGACAAGTTTAAATCGTATTTCTAACATCGTGTATAAAATTGACTGTACAAATTGTGAGGCCACTTATATCGGCGAAACTGGACAATATCTAAAAAAACGTCTTAGATAACACTATAACAATTTTTTGGGCCAAAATTTTTTTAGACCAAAATTTTTTCGGCCAAATTTTTTTTGACCAAAATTTTTTGGGCCAAAATTTTTTGGGCCAAAATTTTTTGGGCCAAAATTTTTTGGGCCAAAATTTTTTGACCAAAATTTTTTTGACGAAAATTTTTTTGACCTAAATTTTTTGGGCCAAAATTTTTTTGACCTAAATTTTTTTAACTTAAATTTTTTTTTCGAAAATTTTTTTGACCAAATTTTTTTTAGACCAAAATTTTTTGACCAAATTTTTTTTTGACCAAAATTTTTTGGGCCAAAATTTTTTTGACCAAATTTTTTTGGGTCAAAATTTTTTGACCAAAATTTTTTTGACCAAAATTTTTTGGGCCAAAATTTTTTTGAGCAAAATTTTTTTTCCGAAAATTTTTTGGGCCAAAATTTTTTTGACCAAAATTTTTTGGGCCAAAATTTTTTGGGTCAAAATTTTTTTGACCAAATTTTTCTGACCAATTGGCACGAGATGGCGCCAAACATGAATGCATTCGGCATTGATGCATACAGCGCACGCTTCGAAATACTGCAAGGTCGATTATGAAATAAGAACCTAGCAGCTGTTTCATTGCAGAACGCACTAAAATCACTACTACATCGAAACAGTGTTCTGAACTCAAAAAATAAGAGGACAATATATCTCACATTAATAAGACCAATAGTCACCTATGCGGCACAAATTTGGGTCACCACATGTAAAAGTAACATTCATAAACTGCAAATATTACAAAATAAAGTATTACGATTAATACTAAATGAGCAGAGAGATCCAATCACAAAACACTACAAATCTAATAAGTATCTTCATGAAAAGTCCAATATGCAACCTTTTAAAGAGACCATACTCAACATGACGGCGAAATTCTTCGAAAATTGCAAACATAGTCCAAATCCAATCATAAAAAGCCTAGGAAGAATCACATCAGACATGATATGGTATGGCAAATACGCTTTGCCAAACCACCTGATAGAGCAGTAGTATCTGGAAAAGATATAGTTACACTTATTCATAATAATACTTTTTAGTTAGTATTAAGCTTTAGTGTTATCTTAGTTGTAAGTTATAATTGAAAGAATAGTGTTTTTTTTTTGTTTTCCTTTTTTTTTCACTTATTGTCAACATTATTGATATTGATATGTAACTAGATTATTAAAATTTCCTTAAATACCATACATAAATTGCAAAAATACCTATTAGGTAGTAATGCATAAAATATTATACTGGACTTTGTAACATACTCGTATATTGATAGAAATATAAAAATTTATCATCATCATCATCATGTTTCATTGCACTTAGTACTCGAGTACTGAGCGTCAACTCAACTTTTTGTGTTGGGTTTCATTTTGTTCAAATGAGCAATCAATTCAATGTGATTGGGTCGTCCCATCTGGACTTTTTTGGTTCCGTCTTTGGTCGACCGAGTCTCTGGTCAACTAGCGATCGCGACAGATTTTAAAGTCGTCAATTTTCACATTTTTCCTTCAATATTTTGTTATTTTGATCCATTTCTAACTCTCGTTGTTATACTGTTGATAAGTTATATATATTTTTTACAACTCATAACGCACGCTGTGCAGTACTGCCTGCACAGTTGATAAATGAATTCCTTTTTTTGCTTCTCGCGTACGGGAGACCCTTGTGCGGGTACCCGCATTGCCCCTTTAGGGCTTTTGCGGTGGGTGATGCATTTTTTTTCTCAAAATTTTTTTGACTTAAAATTTTTTTCCCAAAATTTTTTGGGCCAAAATTTTTTTGAGCAATTTTTTTTTTCCGAAAATTTTTTGGGCCAAAATTTGTTTGACCAAATATTTTTTGGGCCAAAATTTTTTTGACCAAATTTTTTTGGGCCAAAATTTTTTTGACCAAATTTTTTGGGCCAAAATTTTTTTGGGCCAAATTTTTTTGGGCCAAATTTTTTTGACCAAATTTTTTTTGAGCCAAAATTTTTTTGACCAAATTTTTTTTGGTCCAATATTTTTTTGACCAAAATTTTTTTGACCAAATTTTTTTGGGCCAAAATTTTTTTGATCAAATTTTTTTGGGCCAAATTTTTTTGACCAAAATTTTTTTGACCAAAATTTTTTTGGCCAAAATTTTTTTGACCTAAATTTTTTTAACTTAAAATTTTTTTGACCAAATTTTTTTTAGATCAAAATTTTTTGACCAAAATTTTTTGGGCCAAAATTTTTTCACCCAAATTTTTTTTCCGAAAATTTTTTGGGCCAAAATTTTTTGGGCCAAAATTTTTTGGGTCAAAATTTTTTGACCACAATTTTTCGGGCCAAAATTTTTTTGACCAAAATTCTTTGGGCCAAAATTTTTTTGACCAAAATTCTTTGGGCCAAAATTTGTTTGACCAAATATTTTTTGGGCCAAAATTTTTTTGACCAAATTTTTTTGGCCAAAATTTTTTTGACCAAATTTTTTTTGGGCAAATTTTTTTTGGCCAAATTTTTTTTGACCAAATTTTTTGACCAAATTTTTTTGACCAAATTTTTTTTGAGCCAAAATTTTTTTGACCAAATTTTTTTTGTCCAATATTTTTTTGACCAAAATTTTTTTGACCAAATTTTTTTGGGCCAAAATTTTTTTGATCAAATTTTTTTGGGCCAAATTTTTTTGACCAAAATTTTTTTGACCAAAATTTTTTTGACCAAATTTTTTTGGCCAAAATTTTTTTGACCTAAATTTTTTTAACTTAAAATTTTTTTGACCAAATTTTTTTTAGATCAAAATTTTTTGACCAAATTTTTTTTTGACCAAAATTTTTTGGGCCAAAATTTTTTTCACCAAAATTTTTTTTCCGAAAATTTTTTGGGCCAAAATTTTTTTGACCAAAATTTTTTGGGCCAAAATTTTTTGGGTCAAAATTTTTTGACCACAATTTTTCGGGCCAAAATTTTTTTGACCAAAATTCTTTGGGCCAAAATTTTTTTGACCAACATTTTTTTGACCAAAATTTTTTTGACCAAAAATTTTTTGATCAAAAATTTTTTGAGCAAATTTTTTTTCCGAAAATTTTTTGGGCCAAAATTTTTTTGACCAAATATTTTTTGGGCCAAAATTTTTTTGACCAAATTTTTTTGGGCCAAATTTTTTTTGACCAAATTTTTTTGAGCCAAAATTTTTTTGACCGAAATTTTTTTGACCAAATTTTTTTTGGTCCAATATTTTTTTGACCAAAATTTTTTGGGCCAAAATTTTTTTGATCAAACTTTTTTGGGCCAAATTTTTTTTGACCAAAATTTTTTGACCAAAATTTTTTTGGCCAAAATTTTTTGGGCCAAAATTTTTTTGACCTAAATTTTTTTAACTTAAAATTTTTTTGACCAAATTTTTTTTAGACCAAAATTTTTTGACCAAATTTTTTTTTGACGAAAATTTTTTGGGCCAAAATTTTTTTCACCAAAATTTTTTTTCCGAAAATTTTTTGGGCTAAAATTTTTTTGACCAAGATTTTTTGGGCCAAAATTTTTTGGGCCAAATTTTTTTGGGTCAAAATTTTTTTGACCAAAATTTTTTGACCACAATTTTTCTGGCCAAAATTTTTTTGACCAAATTTTTTTGACCACAATTTTTCGGGCCAAAATTTTTTTGACCAAATTTTTTTGACCAAATTTTTTTGACCAAAATTCTTTGGGCCAAAATTTTTTTGACCAACATTTTTTTGACCAAAATTTTTTTGACCAAAAATTTTTTGATCAAAAATTTTTTGACCAAAGAATTTTGGTCAAAAAAATTTTGGTCAAAAAAATTTTTTGAACCAAAATTTTTTTGACCAAAATTCTTTGGGCCAAAATTTTTTTGACCAAAATTTTTTTGACCAAAAATTATTGGGCCAATTTTTTTTTGACCAATTTTTTTTTTTCCAAATTTTTTTTGACCAAAATTTTTTTTTCGAAAATTTTTTTGACCAAAATTTTTTTGACCAATTGGCACGAGATGGCGCCGAACATGAATGCATTCGGCATTGGTGCATACAGCGCACGCTTCGAAATACTGCAAGGTCGATTATGAAATAACAACCTAGCAGCTGTTTCATTGCACTTAGTACTCGAGTACTGAGCGTCAACTCAACTTTTTGTGTTGGGTTTCATTTTGTTTAAATGAGCAATCAATTCATTGTGATTGGGTCGTCCTATCTGGACTTTTTTGGTTCCGTCTTTGGTCGACCGAGTCTCTGGTCGACTAGCGATCGCGACAGATTTTAAAGTCGTCAATTTTCACATTTTTCCTTCAATATTTTGTTATTTTGATCCATTTCTAACTCTCGTTGTGTTATACTGTTGATAAGTTATATATATTTTTCACAACTCATAACGCACGCTGTGCAGTACTGCCTGCACAGTTGATAAATGAAATCCTTTTTTTGCTTCTCGCGTACGGGAGACCCTTGTGCGGGTACCCGCATTGCCCCTTTAGGGCTTTTGCGGTGGGTGATGCATTTTTTTCTCAAAAATTTTTTGACTTAAAATTTTTTCCCAAAAATGGTACCCGC